CCTCACCATCCGAGGAAGGTTTTGGGGGGGGTCCCCACCATCCAAGGAAGGTCTGGAGGGGCTCCCCACCATCCAGGGGACGTTCAGATGGGTGCCCACCATCTGATGAAGCTCTTGGGAGTGGTCCCCACCATCCAAGGAAGGTCTTGGGGAGGTCCCCCTCATCCAAGGAAGGTGTCGGGGGGCTCCCCACCATCCAAGGAGGGTCTTGGTGGGGCTCCCCACCATCTGATGGACGTTCCGATGGGTGCCCACCATCTGATGAAGGTCTTGGGGGGGTTCCTCACCATCCGAGGAAGGTTTTGGGGGGGGTCCCCACCATCCAAGGAAGGTCTGGAGGGGCTCCCCACCATCCAGGGGACGTTCAGATGGGTGCCCACCATCTGATGAAGCTCTTGGGAGTGGTCCCCACCATCCAAGGAAGGTCTTGGGGAGGTCCCCCTCATCCAAGGAAGGTGTCGGGGGGCTCCCCACCATCCAAGGAGGGTCTTGGTGGGGCTCCCCACCATCTGATGGACGTTCCGATGGGTGCCCACCATCTGATGAAGGTCTTGGGGGGGTTCCTCACCATCCGAGGAAGGTTTTGGGGGGGGTCCCCACCATCCAAGGAAGGTCTGGAGGGGCTCCCCACCATCCAGGGGACGTTCAGATGGGTGCCCACCATCTGATGAAGCTCTTGGGAGTGGTCCCCACCATCCAAGGAAGGTCTTGGGGAGGTCCCCCTCATCCAAGGAAGGTGTCGGGGGGCTCCCCACCATCCAAGGAGGGTCTTGGTGGGGCTCCCCACCATCTGATGGACGTTCCGATGGGTGCCCACCATCTGATGAAGGTCTTGGGGGGGTTCCTCACCATCCGAGGAAGGTTTTGGGGGGGGTCCCCACCATCCAAGGAAGGTCTGGAGGGGCTCCCCACCATCCAGGGGACGTTCAGATGGGTGCCCACCATCTGATGAAGCTCTTGGGAGTGGTCCCCACCATCCAAGGAAGGTCTTGGGGAGGTCCCCCTCATCCAAGGAAGGTGTCGGGGGGCTCCCCACCATCCAAGGAGGGTCTTGGTGGGGCTCCCCACCATCTGATGGACGTTCCGATGGGTGCCCACCATCTGATGAAGGTCTTGGGGGGGTTCCTCACCATCCGAGGAAGGTTTTGGGGGGGGTCCCCACCATCCAAGGAAGGTCTGGAGGGGCTCCCCACCATCCAGGGGACGTTCAGATGGGTGCCCACCATCTGATGAAGCTCTTGGGAGTGGTCCCCACCATCCAAGGAAGGTCTTGGGGAGGTCCCCCTCATCCAAGGAAGGTGTCGGGGGGCTCCCCACCATCCAAGGAGGGTCTTGGTGGGGCTCCCCACCATCTGATGGACGTTCCGATGGGTGCCCACCATCTGATGAAGGTCTTGGGGGGGTTCCTCACCATCCGAGGAAGGTTTTGGGGGGGGTCCCCACCATCCAAGGAAGGTCTGGAGGGGCTCCCCACCATCCAGGGGACGTTCAGATGGGTGCCCACCATCTGATGAAGCTCTTGGGAGTGGTCCCCACCATCCAAGGAAGGTCTTGGGGAGGTCCCCCTCATCCAAGGAAGGTGTCGGGGGGCTCCCCACCATCCAAGGAGGGTCTTGGTGGGGCTCCCCACCATCTGATGGACGTTCCGATGGGTGCCCACCATCTGATGAAGGTCTTGGGGGGGTTCCTCACCATCCGAGGAAGGTTTTGGGGGGGGTCCCCACCATCCAAGGAAGGTCTGGAGGGGCTCCCCACCATCCAGGGGACGTTCAGATGGGTGCCCACCATCTGATGAAGCTCTTGGGAGTGGTCCCCACCATCCAAGGAAGGTCTTGGGGAGGTCCCCCTCATCCAAGGAAGGTGTCGGGGGGCTCCCCACCATCCAAGGAGGGTCTTGGTGGGGCTCCCCACCATCTGATGGACGTTCCGATGGGTGCCCACCATCTGATGAAGGTCTTGGGGGGGTTCCTCACCATCCGAGGAAGGTTTTGGGGGGGGTCCCCACCATCCAAGGAAGGTCTGGAGGGGCTCCCCACCATCCAGGGGACGTTCAGATGGGTGCCCACCATCTGATGAAGCTCTTGGGAGTGGTCCCCACCATCCAAGGAAGGTCTTGGGGAGGTCCCCCTCATCCAAGGAAGGTGTCGGGGGGCTCCCCACCATCCAAGGAGGGTCTTGGTGGGGCTCCCCACCATCTGATGGACGTTCCGATGGGTGCCCACCATCTGATGAAGGTCTTGGGGGGGTTCCTCACCATCCGAGGAAGGTTTTGGGGGGGGTCCCCACCATCCAAGGAAGGTCTGGAGGGGCTCCCCACCATCCAGGGGACGTTCAGATGGGTGCCCACCATCTGATGAAGCTCTTGGGAGTGGTCCCCACCATCCAAGGAAGGTCTTGGGGAGGTCCCCCTCATCCAAGGAAGGTGTCGGGGGGCTCCCCACCATCCAAGGAGGGTCTTGGTGGGGCTCCCCACCATCTGATGGACGTTCCGATGGGTGCCCACCATCTGATGAAGGTCTTGGGGGGGTTCCTCACCATCCGAGGAAGGTTTTGGGGGGGGTCCCCACCATCCAAGGAAGGTCTGGAGGGGCTCCCCACCATCCAGGGGACGTTCAGATGGGTGCCCACCATCTGATGAAGCTCTTGGGAGTGGTCCCCACCATCCAAGGAAGGTCTTGGGGAGGTCCCCCTCATCCAAGGAAGGTGTCGGGGGGCTCCCCACCATCCAAGGAGGGTCTTGGTGGGGCTCCCCACCATCTGATGGACGTTCCGATGGGTGCCCACCATCTGATGAAGGTCTTGGGGGGGTTCCTCACCATCCGAGGAAGGTTTTGGGGGGGGTCCCCACCATCCAAGGAAGGTCTGGAGGGGCTCCCCACCATCCAGGGGACGTTCAGATGGGTGCCCACCATCTGATGAAGCTCTTGGGAGTGGTCCCCACCATCCAAGGAAGGTCTTGGGGAGGTCCCCCTCATCCAAGGAAGGTGTCGGGGGGCTCCCCACCATCCAAGGAGGGTCTTGGTGGGGCTCCCCACCATCTGATGGACGTTCCGATGGGTGCCCACCATCTGATGAAGGTCTTGGGGGGGTTCCTCACCATCCGAGGAAGGTTTTGGGGGGGGTCCCCACCATCCAAGGAAGGTCTGGAGGGGCTCCCCACCATCCAGGGGACGTTCAGATGGGTGCCCACCATCTGATGAAGCTCTTGGGAGTGGTCCCCACCATCCAAGGAAGGTCTTGGGGAGGTCCCCCTCATCCAAGGAAGGTGTCGGGGGGCTCCCCACCATCCAAGGAGGGTCTTGGTGGGGCTCCCCACCATCTGATGGACGTTCCGATGGGTGCCCACCATCTGATGAAGGTCTTGGGGGGGTTCCTCACCATCCGAGGAAGGTTTTGGGGGGGGTCCCCACCATCCAAGGAAGGTCTGGAGGGGCTCCCCACCATCCAGGGGACGTTCAGATGGGTGCCCACCATCTGATGAAGCTCTTGGGAGTGGTCCCCACCATCCAAGGAAGGTCTTGGGGAGGTCCCCCTCATCCAAGGAAGGTGTCGGGGGGCTCCCCACCATCCAAGGAGGGTCTTGGTGGGGCTCCCCACCATCTGATGGACGTTCCGATGGGTGCCCACCATCTGATGAAGGTCTTGGGGGGGTTCCTCACCATCCGAGGAAGGTTTTGGGGGGGGTCCCCACCATCCAAGGAAGGTCTGGAGGGGCTCCCCACCATCCAGGGGACGTTCAGATGGGTGCCCACCATCTGATGAAGCTCTTGGGAGTGGTCCCCACCATCCAAGGAAGGTCTTGGGGAGGTCCCCCTCATCCAAGGAAGGTGTCGGGGGGCTCCCCACCATCCAAGGAGGGTCTTGGTGGGGCTCCCCACCATCTGATGGACGTTCCGATGGGTGCCCACCATCTGATGAAGGTCTTGGGGGGGTTCCTCACCATCCGAGGAAGGTTTTGGGGGGGGTCCCCACCATCCAAGGAAGGTCTGGAGGGGCTCCCCACCATCCAGGGGACGTTCAGATGGGTGCCCACCATCTGATGAAGCTCTTGGGAGTGGTCCCCACCATCCAAGGAAGGTCTTGGGGAGGTCCCCCTCATCCAAGGAAGGTGTCGGGGGGCTCCCCACCATCCAAGGAGGGTCTTGGTGGGGCTCCCCACCATCTGATGGACGTTCCGATGGGTGCCCACCATCTGATGAAGGTCTTGGGGGGGTTCCTCACCATCCGAGGAAGGTTTTGGGGGGGGTCCCCACCATCCAAGGAAGGTCTGGAGGGGCTCCCCACCATCCAGGGGACGTTCAGATGGGTGCCCACCATCTGATGAAGCTCTTGGGAGTGGTCCCCACCATCCAAGGAAGGTCTTGGGGAGGTCCCCCTCATCCAAGGAAGGTGTCGGGGGGCTCCCCACCATCCAAGGAGGGTCTTGGTGGGGCTCCCCACCATCTGATGGACGTTCCGATGGGTGCCCACCATCTGATGAAGGTCTTGGGGGGGTTCCTCACCATCCGAGGAAGGTTTTGGGGGGGGTCCCCACCATCCAAGGAAGGTCTGGAGGGGCTCCCCACCATCCAGGGGACGTTCAGATGGGTGCCCACCATCTGATGAAGCTCTTGGGAGTGGTCCCCACCATCCAAGGAAGGTCTTGGGGAGGTCCCCCTCATCCAAGGAAGGTGTCGGGGGGCTCCCCACCATCCAAGGAAGGTCTTGGGGGGGTCCCCACCATCCATGGGCGTTTTTGGGGGGGCTCCCCACCATCTGGGGGATGTTCAGATGGGTGCCCACCATCTGATGAAGCTCTTGGGGGGGGTCCCCACCATCCGAGGAAGGTCTTGGTGGGGCTCCCCACCATCCGGGGGATGTTCAGATGGGTGCCCACCATCCGATGAAGCTCTTGGGGGGGTCCCCACCATCCATGGGCGTTTTTGGGGGGGCTCCCCACCATCTGGGGGACGTTCAGATGGGTGCCCATCATCCAATGAAGCTCTTGGGGGGCTCCCCACCATCCGGGGGACGTCCCGATGGGTGCCCACCATCCGCACCAACATGACGGCCGCCATGAAGGTGATGGCCACGAAGCACCCGATGATGATCTTGGTGGTCTTCAAAACGTCATCCAGATCTTGTAACCCACCCCCAGCACCAACCCCGCCGCCGGCCGCCGCCGCCGTGATGGGGACGGTGAAGGGCTTCCCGGTGGGCCTAGTGGTTCCTCACCATCCATGGGTGTTTTGGAGGGGCTCCCCACCATCTGGGGGACGTTCAGATGGGTGCCCACCATCTGATGAAGGTCTTGGGGGGGGTTCCTCACCATCCATGGGTGTTTTGGAGGGGCTCCCCACCATCTGGGGGACGTTCAGATGGGTGCCCACCATCCAATGAAGCTTTTGGGGGGCTCCCCACCATCCGGGGGACGTCCCGATGGGTGCCCACCATCAGACG